AGGGGATGCTGTGCCCTCTTTGCCCAGCTGGGCTGGGTGGGGACAACACAGGCACCAAGTCCCCACCTTCATCCTCCTCCTTGCCAGTGCTGTGGAAGTGGCCCAGAGTGCGACCCTCGGCATCCCAGCTGGTCCCTCAGCCACGGCACAGCCCCAGCAAAAGGGAGCTCAGCCAGCTTCTCCATCGCCTCGTTACCTTTCCCTGGCATCTCCTCCTGCAGGAGGCTCTGTAAGCAGGTTGATGAATGCAAGGCTTGGTGCTCTGACAGCTCCTGGTGTGCAGCCACCTCCTGCAGGGAAGAGCTTGCTGGCAGCCAGGCCAAGGGAGCAAGGAGAAAGTGGAAGGCTCCTGTTGGGACTCTGATCTTTGTCCAGGTTTGCACTGGCCCATCTAGGCCAACACCAGTCAGAGAAGTGCCCTGGGCTCCATGCAGACTCCTCAGAGCCCACTGTGGCCCCACTGGAATCTCACATCCTAAACTGGGGTAAAGCCCCACATCCTGCCCCAGCCCCCTCCATTCTGGTTCCCCCAGACCTCCAGCCTTGCAGAGATCCTGGGAACCCCCACCTCCAGCATAAACCTGCACCCCAGACCCTACTCAAAGCACCCACCCCCAGCCAGGAGAGCAGCACACCAAGGCTTTGGTATCACCAGCTCTGCGAGGCAAACCCCAGCATCAGCCTCCTGTTCCTGGGAGAAAATCAGCATAGGGTTTCTAACCCGTGTGCATCCAGTACCTGGGGAAGGGGAGGACCTGCATCTGTGCCCTGCCAGCACAAAACCAGAGCTGCCCCTGGAAATACAGGGTGGCATCTGGGTGACACAGCCCTCTTGGGCTGTCCCCACAAGCATCTGCACCCCGCTAATGGCAACTGACATCAGATGCCCACAGGTCCCTCTGCCAGAGCTGAGTCTTGCAGGTGACACTTGTGACACATAGGATTTAGCCACAGACCTACAGCCATTCCCTGCCCTGCACTCATCCCAGTCCTGCATCCATCCCAGTCCTTCCTGTTGGCTGCCAACCTCTCTTTCCCAAGAAGTCTGGCCAAAACTTAAGAAGGTCTGAGCCCAGGTGCTCTTATTCCCGTCCCTGTCCTGTTGGGTCTCATTTAAGATGTAAACATAGGTGTGCATCATCTTCCTCCATGCTGTGCCACCTTGAGCTGACAGGGCCACCCTCCTTCCCCACCTCCCCTGTCTGCTCCATCCCCCCGAGAATTCAGGCCTTTAGTGCTAAATAATCACACAGCTGGCTGGTATCTTGGATCCCAGCAGCCATAAAAGCAATCAAGGTAGAGAGTGGAGCAAGGAGAAAGGTGGGACAGAGGTCACGGGGATGGTGCTGTGCATGGTGCATGCCTGGCACGGATCCGGTGCAGCTCCAGCCTGGCACAGCTCCGCTGCCACCACGTCCTACCCTCACAGTAATTAAGGATGCAAAAATAAACAGGGATGGTTTTATCTCTGCAGGGCTAATTCCTCACCCTGGGGTGGCATGTGCCTGCAGGGCTGCCCCAGATGTTAGGGATGAGGCAGACAAAGCTGCTGGAAATGGAAATTTCCCAGGAAGGAAGGAAATCACTTCTTTCTGGGGCGTAACCAGCCATCACTCGCCAACAACTTTATTTGCCGCTGTCGTATCCCTAAATAACTCCTGGAAACAGCTGCTTGGAGTTTGCATCTCCTACACCTCTGCTCCTCTCTTGACCTTGAGAAATGGGCTCATGCAGTCCCAATTTCCAAAGTCATTCATCCCAAGCAGAGGGAAAACATCTGGACTTGCAGCACCACTACCTGACCCTGCACAACCCTTCAACCATGAGCAAGACTTTGGCAAGTGCAGAACCCTGGCAAGGGTGGATCTGTAAGACTGGGCATGGAAACCATGAGGCCGTGGTGGGTCTGGAGTCAAGGACGTGCTTGGGGCCCTCTGGGAGAAGGGATGATGTTGTCCCTTGAGTGAAGTGGCTTCCTGGACACAGTGGGGCTGGTATCCCACTCCAATGACCCCAGAGCCTGGCATGCCAACATGTTCCCCATCCCTGCCCAGGGCTGGGGATGGATCTGGAGGGGAAGAGCACATGAGGGATGTGCCCGGGAGGGCAAGGATCGAGGGTGGGTTAAGGCAGGGCCGGAGCTGTGCTCAGCCAAGGCGCTGAAGTCAGCACTCTCTGGAGCCATCTGTTCCCGGCGAGGCCCCGGCGCGGACGGGCTCGCCCGGGCTCGGCGGCGGCTGCCGCAGTTTGGTGATTCATGTGGCCATTCCCCCTCTGCGCCACGCCAGCCCCGGGGACGGGGCTGGAAAATCCTGTGTTAGCCACGCTGGGGAAAAGCCTTTTCAACCATTTTTCTGCAGCTCCTCAGTGCCAGGCCAGAGATCCAGCTCCAGCTGGTTTTTCCCTTATTCCACAGCACAGGAAACCTCCTGCTTTGTGGGCTCTAAACGCTCATTGGAAAAGGCCAACTTCAGCAGGCAGTCAACCAGCAAAGCCAGTGAGAGATCTGCACTTGTCTTCTGGGAGTGGTTGGAAAATGAAGCATCAACTGGAGCTTCTGGGATGTGTCAGACCTGCTGCTCCAAGGCAGGAGCTCACAGGCAGCCCACGAGCCTGAAGAGCTTGCCTGGACAGTCTTCAGACAGGGAAACTGAGGCACGGCAGTGCAAAGCTACAAGAGGAAGTTGTAAAGACCCAAATTGAACCATGCCATCCCCCCACAGTGTGACAAGCTCGGCCCCACAGCCAGCCTGGCTGCCTTGCAGAGAGGCACACGGGAGACAGCAGGGACATGGAGCAGGGAGCCGCGTCCAGCCACTCCCCAGGCCATCGCTCACCACATGCTGACCTCCAGCAGCTTTGTGCAGCCTCATTAAAGCTAAGCTGAGCCATAATTCATCCAAGCAGGGCAATCCACATGCAGAGCTGGCAGCGACGATTTCCAGTGTTTCAGGCCGCTTTCCAACAGCAGACGGGTGTCTCTCGCAGCGTCGCCTTTCCAGCTCCTCACCTGCGTCAGAAAACGGCCTTGGAGCTGCTCCTGTGGCGGCTCAGGAGAGCGGAGGGCGAGGGGATGGCTGCCCAGCCAGGCTGCCCTCTTGCACCTCCGCGGTGAGGACACCCCTGGGGCAAACACAAGGTTTAAAAGCAGAACCCGGGTGCGAGCCTGCAAGGTGCCCCAGGCTGCCCGGAGCCCCGGGAGCAGCAGGAGTGCTGGGAGCCCCCGGGGTGCCCGGCCAGTCCATCCCAGGGTGCCCGGCCAGTCCATCCCGGGGTGCCCGGCCAGTCCATCCCAGGGTGCCCGGCCAGTCCATCCCGGGGTGCCCGGTCAGCCCAGCCCATCCCGGGGTGCCCGGCCAGCCCGTCCCGGCCCCTCCGCTCCCCGCGCAGCCTCCCAGCGCCACCTAACGACGGCGGGGACAAGGACCTTCGGTGCTGCACGGTGCCCTGAGGAGGATCGAGGGCAGCGACAGCCATGGGGAGGGAGAAGAAACGTGGACACAGGGCTGGGGCTTGGGCTCGTAGGCAGCAAAGCAAAGGGAGCTGGAAGCATTGAATAAGAATTTACATGATTGTAACCATCAGCCCTCTGCCCACGAGGCTCAGGACCCTGTCCCTGCCCTTCACTGACCTTCATCATCCCATGGTTTTCCCACAGACCAGCATTAACCCCAGGGCCTTGGCTAAGCTCAGGCTTGAGCAAAGTCACGGAGCTCAGCAAGGACAGACTCGTTAATCTGTTACCACAGCCCAAAAACTACCCTGAAGCATCCTCACTTTGGGAACAGCCACGTGCCAGGCTCAGCACAAGCACAGTGGCCTTTTCCACAGCTACAAAAGCACCCTGGCATCAACACTCAAGGAGATGTGGAAGAAAATCCTGGGGAGGATCCATCTCCTCCCTTCCCAAAACCTTCAGATCTGATGCAGCCACAACAACCCCTTTGCCGTCACATTCCTGGCTGGGCTGCCGACCTGAACTGCTGCTCCCTGTGGTAGGTGCAGCCCCCTCGCCTCCACACCCTCCCCCTTCCCAAAGCTGTGATTCACCTCGGAACCCAGCACTGATGTAATCTCCTGCTCGAGAGTTCAGCATTAGGACTGCATCAGCCACGAGACGTAAGGAGAGCCACATCACACAAACAGCTGTTCCACAAAAGCTTTATTGCTCGTTTGAGTACGAGCTCCCATTATCACATTTCCTGAGTTTCTTAATGAGCTTTCAAATGAGATTTAAATAGAAAAGTATGGGAGAGAAAAAGGGAAAAATAGGGAGAAGTCAGAGATCTCCCTTCCTTGAGATGAGACAGAGATGAGGTGAGAGAACAGCACCCTGTGGGCAAGCCCTCTGCAGTGAGAGGGCTGAGCTAGGTTGCCCTAGCTCGATTTCCCCTCTGCCTCCATCACAGCCACTGCCACTGTCACCGTTTCCAAAGGCCAGGGAGGAGGGGCTGCAATCCTGCAGTGCTCTGGCAGGGAGCAGGGGGGGCTGGGGACAGCCAGGGAAGGGGCACAGCTGACGCTGCCCCTGCGCCACGGATAAAAGGAGATTACAGCTCACGGTTTGTAATCTGGCTTAAAACCTGACACCGTCACCGTAGGCAATCTGGGCTAAGAGAAGCATTTAATAAGCTTCAAAACACACAGACCAAAAAAAAATAACCCCAGCAGTGAAAGGAGAGAAAGAGCTCAAGGCACTGCTTGCACCAGTCAGCACTGGCAGGTACCAATGGACACGGGATCCCTCATGATCCTGAACAATGCAATTACATGCCTGTTATCCCAATCCACCCCATAAAACAGACTGTGGGAAGCAGAAGGCAAATTAACTGTGGGAAGTAGAAGGCAAATTAATGCCCTTTTCTACTTGTGTAGAGTTCACAAGTGGAAAGCCCCCAGAGCTGCCTTGCCTTGGGACGTTGCAGGAGCCTCAGCACTTTGAGGGCTGCTCCAAGGTTAAGGCAGTGGCAGACAAAGAACCCAGACTCAAGCTGTAGGTCCATTTTGGCTTCCCTGGAAGGGTTTTTTTTTTTAAAAAAAAAAGTCATTATTAAAAGATGCCTGCTCTGGCATGAACGACAAGGCAACAAACCCATTTGGCTTGTGGCTTCAAGGGGAGGCAGCAAGACACAGGGAAACTTCTCCATGTGACTTGCTGTGAGAGAGTGGCTGGCCAGGAGTCTCCCAGGTGAACACACACCTCCCTTCACCTGCACTGCATGATTCATCAATGCTTCAAAGACAGACAAGAATCACCCCTGGAAACGGTAGCTGGCTGCAGGGATGTGGGGCCAGCCAACAGCCTCAGGTCTTGAGACTTTGGGAACCCAGAGTTCATGGTTACCAGAGAGGCTCCAGTGTCACACACCCCTCCAGAGCCAGCACCAGCCCCAGACACAAGCCCTGTGCTCCCAGGCTCTGCTCATGACCCTCTAGTGCTGCCCCAGGATGGCACCACTGGGGCAGTGCCACGGTCCCACCACTGCTGCTCTAGTGACCGATGATCCGCAGCATCTCCGCAGGATCCACGATCTTCTCCCGCGGTTTGCCAGCAGCTTTGCCTCTTGCCACTTCAGCGGCATCAATCTTCTCCCAGTCCGAGAAGGAAACAGGACGGACCCCTGGGGTGACGGTGAGACACAGGAGAGAGAACTTAACCAAGTAAGAACAAGTTCAGCCTCAGCTCCCCATTGCCTGATGTGGCAGCAAAGCTGCCCTTTTCTGACACAGTGTCACAGCTCAGCCTTGCAAAGGAGAAATAATTCCTAACACCAAAAGGAGAGGGGTGGCAGGTTCCAGTCGGCTCGGATCAGTCAGACCTTTGTGAGCCATAACAGCAGCGAGCACAAACCACCTCGGGGGACAAAAGGCTTCCAGCTCACTGTTAAACCTCAGACAGTTTAAGAGGCAAAACACACACACACACTTTAATTGAATGTCTTTAAACACAGCTACAGCAAATTACTCTCCTGGGCATTTTAATCTTTCCCCTAACTTGCTTGGAAGGATTACTAGGAAAACCACTCAAGAGCAATAGCTCACTGTCTCGGCAGCTGACACTGACATTTTACCCAAGGTCTGTGCTGCTTTTATTGGCCCTTCCCAGAAAGTGGTCATTAACCTTAGCAATGACACAGATATTTGAGAGAATTCAAGCCCCGTTCTCCCTGGACTTTGGAACATCAAAACAGCAGAAAAATCCATGCCCATGGTTCAGACTCTGCTCCCTCACAGATCCAGGAGTTTGGCTACACTGAACCCTCCTACTGGCTGCTACTGAGCCTTGCACTGACCTCGGCTGCGCAGGATGCTCTCCACAAGCCCAAAGCCTTCTCTGGAGGGGGATATATCCAGCACACCCCCCTGGAGATCCTCCAGCAGAGACTGGGCAGTGTCAAAGCTGTCGTTCATGGTGGTGATGATCACGCCTGTGGGTCCTCTCTTCACCCACCCGCTGCAGTACAGACCTGCAGGGGCACACGGAGCAGCCAGGCTCAGGTCAGCATGTGGCCTTGCACCCTTCTGGCTGCAAGTGCTTGCCCTCTTCCCCACCCTGGTGATGTGAACAGACCCTTAGACAGTGCAGTGGCAGGAATTTGTGTACCTACAGATCAGCACTAAGCGGCTGCATGGGCTGTGTCACTTTAGTAGCAGGATGCAATAAAACCCCTGTGCTAAACCAGACAACCCTAAAGAGATGGAGACTGCCCAGCCCTTAACCCCTGGCAGAGGCGGCTCATTCCCTCAGTTTCCACTCTCCAAGGTGTGCAGTATCCATGCCCTTGGTGAATGAACTTCCCACCCCAAAGCCCCCAAGCCCACCAGCTGTGCTCAGCATGTCCCATGCAAATCCCTGTGGATACAGACCTGGGACACCCTGCACCCTGCCCGAGCTGTTGGGGATGACCCCGCGCTGGCTGTCGAAGGGCACGGCCGGGTCCAGCGGCAGGCTCCGGTAGCCAATGCTGCTGAGCACCAGCCCACACTCCAGATCCTCCACATCTCCAGTGGGAATGGCTTTGGCAGAGTCACCCGAGCCCTGAGAGAGAGAGGAAAAGGCTGCTGACCACCGCTGTAGAGCAACAGCCCCCTCCAGTCCCCTGTGGAATCTTTGACCCCTGGGTATTTGCTAAAGGCCATTCTGCAGCAGCATCAGAGAAAGAGCTCCCTTTGGAAAAACTCTTCATGGTACCAGAAGCTCTTTTGGTACCAGACTCCCTGAGAGCCTGCCAGAGGTCACTCCAGCAGGACAGGGAACAGAGAGCTGTCTTTGGGGAGATTCCCAAGGAATGCAACAGTGTCCTGCTCCACCCCAGCCTCCCAGGCCCCGGTACCTCCAGGCGGGTCAGGGCCATGCGGACGCCCCTCGCCCTCCTCCCATCAGCACTGGGCAGCACTTCCTGGGGGCAGCGCTGGAACTTCAGCCCCCACTCCCTGGGGGCTGCTGCCCCTGCTGCCTGCATCTCCACTGGCTGCTCCAGGGCTGTTTTGATCATCAGCTCAGTCAGTCGCTTCCTGGGCCTGGGAGCATCTAGGAAAAGAGAGAAATCTTCACAACAGGAATCAGCAAAAGCCCCTTGAGACACAGCACTGGGCCAAGGCCATGTCAGGGCAGTGTCAGTATGTGAGTCTGTCATGTTGGTGGGAGCCTGACACCTTTGAGATGACAAACTGCAAGTCAAAGTGACCAGAAGACCTCCTGAGGCTTGAGGCCAGTGGGACACACAAATCAAAGTCTGCAGTTTCCTGTCTTGCTGGTGCTTGGAGGAAGCAGCCCATGGAGAAGAGCAGGTCTCTGGACACCCTTGAACTCAGTGTTTTCTTTTTAGGTCTACAAGAAGCTCTTAAATCAACAGCCTTGGGATCTCCTCAGCCCTCCTGAGCCTCCTGCCCTCATCACTCAGTGTAAGCACTAAGTGGCTGCACAAACAGAGATACACAATGTTCCCTTATCTTGGTGCCTCCTGGCACTCTGAGGACACGACACACCACGGTAACTGAGCCTTCATGAGCCAGGCATTGAGTACAGGGCAAGTTTCTCTGATGTGCACTCTGGGCACCTGCAGCTCCCCTGCCAAGGTGAGTCCCTGTCTGGAGGAGCATGGCACACTTCCCTCACCTCTGACAGCACTTTCGAGGCCTGTGAAGTTGGCAGGGTCCAGGACAGCTCTGGTACCAGGCAGGTTTATCATCTCCCGCAGCTCCTGGGAATTGTGGGCAGGAAAATGTTACCTCCAGCAGAAAGAGGACAGCCCCAAAGCCCTAGGAGCCAGGAAATGGGTGCAGGAAGGAGAATGGCTGGGATCCACACTCACCCCCAAACCACTGCTCCCCACCAGGGACAGGCAGTTTGGGGCTCAGCTCTGGGAAACAGCAGCACCTGCAGCCTCACCTTGATGGTGAAAGCAACTTGGAGAGGTCCCCTCCTCCCAACCAGCCAGACACGCTTCACCTTGCTGCAGGCAAGAGCTGCCAGGGAGCTGTCAGTGATGTCTGTCTTCTGCAAAACAGAGACAGCAGAGTGGGATGAGGGCAGATCTGGAGGGAGCTGGGGGGAAGGCACAGCCTCTGAAGGTGAAAAATCAGCAGAAAAGCTGGCTGTGCATGCAGAGAGCCCGGGAAACAAGTCATCTCCCTTTGCACAGAGCTATTTGCACAGCTGGTCCCTCATCACTGAATGTTCTTTCCGAGGCCATAACGCACCAGAGGTAACGAGCCAGCACCCCGTGACTGCCTCGGGGGATCCACCAGCAGGTTCACCTTGGGGCTAACACAGCAAAGCCTTCAGCGAGCTCCATTCTGAGCTGCCTGCAGATGCTGCTGGGGAACTTCCCAGCTCAGGATGTACAGGCTGTGGATGAAACCTGCTGCAAACCACAGCTGAAATCACCACTGTCTGCCCCAGACAGCTCCAGCACAAGCACAAGCACGGCCAGGCCTCACCCTGGCACTGGCACCTCACAGAAACCCTGTGCTCTGCTTCAATCATGTCTGCTTATCTACACTGCAAGATCTTTTCCAGAGAAAACATGATGGGAGAGACACAAGGTAACCAAGACAAGCCATTCCAGACCAATATTGCTATCAGGGAACCACCTGCCCGCCCTGGCACTCATACCAGTGCCATGTCTTTTGCAGCACTGCTCCCAGCTGGCTTAAGTCACTGGTTGGCACTGTCTCCAAGTTTGGGGGCTTTTAAAATTTAATTTAGATATTAATACAGGAAGTTGCTGCACAGCTGTAACAAACCTTGTGGCATTTCTCCCACAGGGAAAGCCTTGCTGCCAACATCTGGGGCAGCAGCTGTATGGAGCAGCTGGTGCACACCAGCTCCCAGCTGTCTGTAGGGATGAGGTCCACCACTCTGCCCAGTGCCACCAGCTGAAACCAGGCTGCTGCCCTCAGCTCCAGCAGAAAAAGATACACACCAACAAAAGTTTCTGGTTTGGTGGCAGAAGAGAGAAAGTGACCCCTCTTTTGCTTCTGACAGGGATGATGCTCAATTTCCAACTTTCTGGATTCCAGCAGAGCAATCCAGAGCCCTCTGCAGCATCACCCAAGTCATGGCCACAGCCCTGGATCACTCCCTACAGACTGTGAATCCATGGGTGCACCTGAGAGGCAGCAGCCTTCCCCAGGGAAAGGTCCCAAAGACAGAGGAATGTGAGGTTTTATCTGAGATGGGTGGGAACCAGCAGCCACCCAGCAGGGAGGGAATTTGGGGCCTGGGCTGCCCTCCTGGGGCAGAGCACCCATCACTCACCCTGAGGAGCTGCAGTGGGGACAGCAGGATGCGGGCAATGTCCAGTGCCACGTTGCCATGACCCAGAATCAGCGCTGTCTCACAGCTCAGGTCAGGCTTCAGCTGTGGGGAGAGACCCAGCTGTGACTGAATCCATATGGCCTCCACTGTGTCCAGCCCTTTAGACCCGCTCCTACCACCCAAATTCCTTCCCACCCTGCTTTGCCCCAAAAAGAGGTGATGCAGATTGGGAAACTCCACAGCCTCCTCCCCGAGCAGACACAGCAACACAGCTGCTCCAGGCACCCCAGGTGATCCCTCTTCCCACCTTCCCTGCTCTCCTGGGAGCAGAAGCTGTTTTGGCCAAAAAGCCTCATCAGGAAGCAGAGCATCACCCCTACATGTTCCCATCTAGCCCTGCCAAAATGTGCTGCCAACGTGCAGAGCCAGATAATCCACTCTCACTGATGTGCAAATTGTTCACATTTCCACAATCTAAGAAGGATTTAACACACTGCTGCTAATCTTTTCCAATTGCAGGCCTTTCAGGACTTAATCTGGAGTTGAATGCCTGCACTGGGATGGAAAGAAGGATGGGAGGAAGGGCAGGGAAGCACAGGGCCATACTCACATCCTGGTTCTCAGGCAGCCCGTTGTACCAGCCCACGAAGGCTCGGGCTGAGTAAACACCAGGGAGGTTCTCCCCTGGGATCCCCAGGACCCGGTTGTCTTCAGCACCATAACTCTGAGGAGGTAGCAGACACTGTCAGAGATGCCACTATGTGCGGGGTTTGACACCAAAACACAAATCTCCCCTTCCAGATGCTGCCAGGGTCACTGCATGGCTGTGATATCCCCTCCCAAGGGCTGAGATACTTGGTGGAAGGGCTAAACACAGCCCAAGCACAGGGGCTTCATCCACCTCGTCATCCTGGGCTCCAGAGCCAAATCTGACGTCCTTGGTCCAAGGCAGAGCATGACAAGCTGAGGACTGAGCAGCAAGGACAAATCCATGGCAGGCTAAAATAAGCATTGGCCAGCACAGGGAGAGGATTCACAGACCTGCACTCGATGCCCAACTCCAGCACATGCCCCTTGCAAGGGGCTTTGGACAAGCCTGGGAGCATCTGAGCTGTCCCAAGGCTGGGAAGAGTTTCCCATGGTAACGAAGCACCCAGAAACACCTCACCCAAACACTCTTCCCAAGATCCCAGTGGAGAATACCCCTGCAGCCCTTTCCCAGGACTCGTGGGACCCTGAGGTTTGGGTACCCACCAGCACCACGGCGTGGTAGGCCTGCTGCAGCTCCGGCAGGGTCACGTCCCGGCCCACGGTGACGTTCCCGTAGAAGGCGCAGCGCTCCGAGCGCGCCGTCTGCGTGAAGGCGTTGGTCACGTTCTGCAGGGATCACAGAGCTGGAGTTACACCCCACAGCCAGGGCCAAGGCCTGCTGCTGACAGGAGATCCCTGTGCCTGTCCCCTGCAGCCTTGAGATGCCTCACTGCCTCATCCCAATCAAGTTATTCTGAGGCTCTTATCTACCAACAGCCAGAGATAACTCACAGGGAGATAAGCACAGCTGTGACCTGGCACTCTCTCCATCACCCTCTGTGAAAGGAAAATCCATATTTTTCACCCACCTGGGGAGGATAGGACCTTCCCCGCACATTCAGCCCCTCAGAATAACCCCCACTGCAGGGGAAAACTCCTTCCCAAAAGTGAGGTTTGCAGCCCACCTGGTCCCCTCTGCTGGCATCTCATCTCAACCCTTTCTGAAAGGCCATTCCTCGAGAGAGGATTCAGGGCAGGATGGCATCCAGGCCTTTTTCTTCTGAGTGATCAGGGCTACACAGCAAAACCACCACTCCCAGCCCTGCAGCCACAGATGGACTCAGACTGGGGACAGGACAGACAGCACCATAACAGCTGCAGTATGTCCATTCCTCCTCTCTCATACAAAGGGATCCAGGCATTTTGGTCTTTGTATCTCCAGGGATTACAGGAAACCATTGCAAGATATTGCTGTGTCTGGATCTCCTGTGTCCTACCCTTCCAACCACCTCCACTCCAGCTCAGATATAGCAGATACTCCTGGGTACCACTCACTGCCAGGCAAAGGAAAATGGCTGGGAAATCCTTGGTGTAACTTTTCCCTGCCCAGGAGAGCACCTACAGCCCAACTCCCCGGCCCCCATGCGGAGATCTGTGTGTTCCCACAACAGGTACTGACTGAGGGGCAAACAGCAGCAGCAGTGAGCAGCCCAGGGACACAGAAACCCATGTGTGCTCCTTGGCCTTGCTCTAGGCCAGGCTGACCAGCACTGGGAGCAGCACTTCCCATCACAAGCCCCTGGTTCTGGCCCTCTGGACCTCTCTGGCCTCACAGCTCCGTGCCACAGAGAGCCTGGGACACCAGGAAGGACAGAGACCAGCTCAGCTGCAGCCACCACTGTCACCACGCAGGCAAGGGCAGGGAGCAGCACCAACCTTCACCTCAGGGTGGTCTGGGGCCACTCCAAAACGGACGAGCCCGAAGGGAACGGGCAGCTTCTCGTAGATGTCCACCAGGGCCCCGCCGTGGTGCTGCGGGAGAAGGAATTCACAGCCGGGGTGAGGACAGAGGGGTCACGGGAGCCTAGCAACACTCATCTGGGGCAAACACAGGGCACGAGGATGGGCTGCAGCAAGACAGAAACTGCCTCTTCCAGACTTTTCCATGAGCAGGATGAAGCTGCAGCTGTTACTGCCAGCTCAGACCACAAGATGTAGCACAGAGTGACCCCAACCACCACGAGTCCATCTTGGGGGCTCCATCTCCCTACCCAGACCTCAGCTCCTTTTCCACACCAGCCTGGTGGGTATGCAGTACCTGGGGGGCTGATCAGAGAGCCCCCAGAGCTGGGAAGCAGCCAGCACAGCACCCTGTGTGCTGGGGGACCTGCCAGACACCTCCCAGACCCCAGCAGAGATGCCCCTGCCCTGAGATGGCCTGGGCTGAGTCACCTCAGGGTCAGAGCCTCAGACAGAATCTTGGCTGCAAGGCTTTTGTTATCTTGTATTTTGAGTCGGCCTCTTCCCAAGATTAAGCAGCCCTGAAATTCGTCCCTGAGGCTTAGTAACAGCTATTTTCCAACACATTCCAGAGACAGCACAGCATGGTTTAATGATGGGGTTAAGCTGCTATATCTCTGGAGGGTGCCAATAGCCCAGTTCTGTGTTCAGCTCTCATTCCCCAACAGACCTGACTGCCCAGAGCACTGAAATTTGCAGACACAAGGTAAAGCATCATCCATGTGCCTTAATTCTACTGGGGGAGGAGGGAGGTGACACAACCACGTTAAACACACAGTTAATGTCACTCCTGCTGGGTGACAATAGCTTTGAGCGAGGCAGATTCCTGCTGATTATCTGAGTCTAGAAAAATCACTCGGGATGAACTCACAGCAACCAACCTAAGTCCTGAATGGACGACCCAGGGGCAGGGCAGGGATTAACGCAGTGCTACCGACGCCAAGCAAAGGGGCCCAGAAGGACCTGGTGGGGCCTGGGCAGCCCCAGGGAGCCCCCCAACAACACCGCCCCGAATGGAGCAGGGCCAGGAGCCCAGTCAGCCACCCCAGAACCTGCTGCGGGCCAGGCAGGGCAGAGATGGCTCCCTCGGAGGGCAGGTCCCGGCGCGGTACCTTGAGGATGTGCTGAGCCGTGTAGAAGCCGGCGGGGCCGCTGCCCACCACGCAGAGCCGAGGCGCCGGGGCAGCCGAGGACAGCCACCGCCGCAGACCTGCAGGGGACAGCGACAGGCAGGGCGTGAGGCCACACGAGCCGCCACACGAGCCGGCACAGCCCCTCCCGGGAGCCCGGCACCCACCGAGCGCGGCTCGGGGCCCCGCGCCGGCCATGGCCGAGCGGAGCGGAGCGGGGCCGGCCTTTGGCACCGCACCCGGGAGGCGGGCACGCCGCGAGCTCAGGACAGCGGCCTTGGCGCTCAGGGCCGGGCCGGGGCCGGCGGGTGGCAACTGCTCCACCGCCCCGGAACCGAGACCCCCGAAGCCGCGCACCGGGGTCCTGAGGGCCCCGCGCCTCTCACAGCCCCGGGGGTGGAGCACGGGCCTGCGGGGGCGCGGGGTCCGCAGCCCCTCGGGCCCGCAGCCCCGGCTCTCCCGGCTCTCCCGCTTATCCCGCTCCGCTCCCGCTCGCCCCGGACACGCGTCTCCCCGGGCCGCGTTCCGCTGCCGCCGCCGGGCCCCGCCCCTCCTCCTCGCCGACCAATCGTGAGGCGTCACAGCGCATTGTTTAGCATAACCCCTCCTCCCGCAGCGGTCGGACCCCGCCCCTTCTCCTCACTGACCAATCGTAAGGCGTCACTGCGCCTTGTTTAGCATAACCCCGCCTCTCTCCGCGGCCTGGCTCCGCCCCCGCACCGACAGCCAATGGCAGCTCGCCGTTTCCACCGCGGCTGACCGGAAACGCGGTGTTACCATAGAGAGGCGGGGAAGGAAGAGTCGTCTGGCGGCCGCTCGCACCGCCGCTCTCTATGGTGAGACGTCCGCGGCGCGCTCCCGCAGCATCATCATCAATGCTGCTAATTGCTTGCGGCCCTGCATCGCCCAAAAAGCGACCAGCTGCCGAGGTGTGCCGGGGAAAGCGAACCTCAGACTGATTGTAACCGTGTGCTGCACAGCGACCCAGCTCTTGCCAGGAGAAAACCCCAGCGTCCTTCGATCAAGAGTAAAATATCAGCTCCAGAGTGGATAAATGATGCTGACAGCGTCCCCATGGTCTCTGCTGTATTTCCTCCTTCATCCCCGTCACTCAGCACATGTTAAATGCTCTCAGCTCCCATGCAGGAGCAGCACATCCCTTCTGGGTCCAGCCCTGCACAACACCCCAGACAGAAAAATCATCTCAGCGAGCCCAGCAGACACTTGGAAGTTGGCCAGAGCACGCAGGCAAGTGCTTGATGGGGCTTTTTAAATGCAATTAAGACCATGAGGAGTTTACAGCCAGGAGCTGCTGGTAATATGGATCATAAAATTCACACACTTTTTCTCCTGGTCTTGGAGATGAGCTGATGGCTCTCTGCAAAGGCACACTGGAAATGGAGCTGGCTCTGTGCCTCCTTCTGCACCCGCTCTGCCAGGGGCTGTGGTGAGCACCGGGAATTCCAGCGGCTCCAAACCCTCATCCTCAGGTCAGCAGCACTCACTGAGACCTGCCCAGGGAGCCAAGGCTGAAGGCTCCAAATATCCCCACAGAGGTCATCCACAGAAGCACTCGGTTTAAATTTGGAGGGTTCCAAGCACATGAGTCAGAGTCCTCCTTTTTTTTTTTTTTTTTTTTTTTTTTTTTTTTTTTTTTTTTTTTTTTTTTTTTTTTTTTTTTTTTTTTTTTTTTTCCAGAATTCTCCCTTTCCCCCATTAACTTCTGTATCCAGCAGTTCTGGCAGGGAATAATCCATCCATTTCCCAAATCACAGGCTGTCTCCCGCTGGCTGAGGGACCTGCAAACACTCGCCTTCAGCTGGCATTGCTTTAAACATCATCCATAAAATCCAGCTGGGAAAAGAGCTGTTGCTCTGACCGGTGCCTGGGAACATTTTGAGGCCTGATCTCTTTGCAGCAGGAGAGGCCAAAAGAGCATTTTGTGCCCACAAACAGGAACAGGTGAGGTGAAGATCACCCCACCTGAACCAAAAGCACCTCTAATGCCCCCTTGTCCCCTTGCTGGAGCTGGGAATGCCAGTAATTTGTCACCTTTATCTTATCTTTGATGCTCAGTTGAGAGATTAATTGGGGAAGGGGTGAGGTGCTCTGGGGAGGGTCTCAGCCCCCCCAGAGCATTCAGGCCCTTTGCTCTGGCCATACCCCTCCAGCTGCTGTCCCACCTACAGACCAGCCCAAGCCCTGCTCAGAGGATGGGAATTTGCCCTCTGGGTGTTTCACAATGTCCTGGATCCACAGGGGCCTGGAGAGGGTGGCAATGCCAGCAGAGCAGTGCATCAGCAGCCCCTGGAGCCCAGCCCAGGGTAAATCAATAATTCAGCATTTCTGATGCCAAAGGGGTCAGGCTGGGTAGATCCAGGAGCACTGCTCCTGCTCCTGAGTCTGGATCTCTGCACAGGGATGCCATGGAGCCTGGTACGGCCATGCCAGCTCCGGCCCCACAGCACAGGGAGCTTCTCCTCAGGAGCAGGGCACAGCATCCTTGAGCCTCCCAAATCCACAGTGTGGCACTGCAGGGGTCCAGCCCGGAGGGGAGGACAACTCAGAGAGCAAAGCCCCAGGCTGAGGGCAAAGCCACACTGCTGCCAGCCTGGCCACTCTGCTGCCTCTCCCCAGCGTGGCCCTGGCGTGGGCTTTGCCATCGGTCTCGCAGGTCTGGGGCAGCAGAGCACCCTGCTGAAGACACACACAGCCTCCCACAGGTGCCTTGAAGAGGCCAGGTGAGCATCCCAGCCCTGGCAGCAGCACAGGCAGAGCTCACCCTCCCCAAACAAGGAAAGCTCCCACACCCGGGACACCAGCTGCTCTGGCAGATGATTCCCTGATGAATTCCTGCCACAGCAATGCCCAGGGGCCCCAATGACTCTGGCACCCCAACACAGACACCCCCATGGGTGCCCCCACTCCTGCCCTGGGCACCACAGGATACCAGTAAAACTTCCTCCAGCAAAAAAACCCAGTGATAAAGGAAATCCACCCCAAAGTGTTAAGGCCGAGCTTATCTTTGAAACAAATCTTTGTTCCTAGAAGGGACTGATTTAGCCCAAAGCACAAGCAGCAGTGACACAGCCCCCTTCCCACATCCACCCCTTCCCTGAGACCCCGAACAAACAGCTGCAGCTCCATCCTGCAGATCCTGGTGCTTCTCAGTTCTGCGTGTCCCGGACACGGTGTCACATCCCCCACAGACGGGGTGGTTTCCTCTCCCCAAGTGTCAAAGCAGAGTGGATAAAAGTAAGCCCTGGCTGGGAATAACTGTGGGGAACCCCGATTTTTGTGTCCCTGGTGTTGCTCTCCCCCTGCCATGGCTATGTGCACCATTTTCTAGCCAAAAGCAAGAGTTCAGGGAGGGATGTTTCTACACGATGACTTCATGGAGGTGCTGGTTCCTGCTAAAACCATCCCTCTGAGTGTCCCTGCGGGAAACAGCCCCCCAGGTGCTGCAGCCCCCGTGGTCCTCACTGGATGCCCACCAGCTCCGTTATGGGGGGAGCATGGACCATCAGCTCCTCGTATCTCTGGAGGAACAGCCAGAGCCTGGAGCTGTAGGTGTCCTCGTTGTAGGGCAGCTTCTTCTGCTTCAGGTACTGGGAGACGATGGGTTTGATCTGCAAAGGCAAAGGTGAGGTCACTGCTGTGCAGGGTGGCCTGGTGTTTGTACAAATGTGCCCAGAAAACACACCCAAAGCTGGGCTGGAGCACGCAGCACCAGCTGCAGTATCTTCGCTGTGAATATTAAGAGGAAGGTGGTTTCCAGTTGCAGCATCACAGGGAGTTCACCCTGGCAAAACGCCTTTGGAGGGCTCCAAATTAGGAGAGATGCCCTAATGAGGCTTCTAATGAGCGCCAGCCACGAATGCTCGTCGTTCACACCCATCATTATTGGCCCACACAACTCGTTGATGGGACTGGGAGCTGCCACAGGCTTAATGACCTCCTTCCCTGCGACAGCTCTTTGGGGGAGGTCGGTGCTGCCAGCCCCGTGGGCTCAAGGACGCTGAAGACAAGGGCCCAGCACTTGCTGTGGCCATCCTGGGCTGGAGGGCAGGGTATGCACCTGCCCTGGATCCCCTCCAGCCGGGGCACTGCTCAGAGCCCACGTTCTGAACACACCCCACACCTCAGAGCGGCAAGCAGGGGCACGACCAGAGTGACAGCAGGTTTGCCTGGATGGTGTCTGAACCAAAAACCGGACTGCGCAATGCTGGGGATACTTTCCCAATGGAATAACTGGGAGGATCCTGGACTGCTGGAAGGCTGGAATTGGGACCAGGAGAAGGAGCAGGGAGCAGAAACCCAGGAGAAACAGGAACGGGCTGGCAGGAGATGGGCTAGGGACTGTTGCAAAGCAGTGGGTGGTTTCCAACCCGAGAGGAGCAGCACAGGTCTGTCCGCGGGGGCGGGAGGGCGCGGGAAGATTTCCCGTCCCCGTCTCACCTCCCGGTCACCCCGTGGAGTCAAGAGGCAATTTCCAAAGGCTCCCAGCACCAACCCCTGCTTTAGGAGCAGCTCACCTTCAGGCACATGTTGTCAGAGAGGCTGGGGAAGAGGTGATGCTCCACGTGGCAGCTGATGAGCGAGTGGCCGAAGGACCAGTCGAGGAGGGCGTTGCGGGGCAGGTTGAGGACACCCAGGCTCATGAGGTGGATCCGCTTGGGTCTGCGGTCGGCAGCGAACATGGGGAGGCCAATGTGCTGCAGGAGAGGAGGGAGGGCACCCTGTGGCACCTGTCACCCCCACAGTCTCTTCCCAGCGGAGCCAATGGCAGCTCTGCCCGTGTGTGGGCACGAGGAGACACATTTTGGGGTCTCTCTGTCAGCCCAAGAGCTGGGTTTGTCCCTAAAGTCATCCCAGCTTGTGTTTGTCCGTGGAGCCACCAAGGAGCTCCCAGGCTCTGTTCCCCCAAAACATCCACACTTGGAGCCACCAGCCTCTCCCCACCCCACGGCCTGTAACACCACCTGAAACACATCAGTCCTGCCAGCCACTGCAGGGGACACCATCCTCACAGCCTTTGCACTCACCTGCCCTGACATTTTCCAAGGGCCACCACTTTCCACCCAGCACCACCAGCCTGATCCTCCTGGTGACAACATCAGCACAACTGCACCCACACGCCTTAAGGTGACACAAGCTCCAGCTAGAAGCATCAGGGCACTGGGTGGTGGCTTGCCTGTCTCCAGCACTGTTGGGATACCTTGAAGCTTCAGGTCTCTACCTGGAATATGTTGACATGGATGTAGGGATGGGCCAGGAGGGAGCGGGTGACCAGCATGCAGAGCAGGGCAGACCACGGCGACTGGAAGCCCGAGACATGGAGCAGGAGCCAGTAATGGCAGTAAAACCCCAGAAACATGCAGCAGAGGGTCCGGAGAGCTGCCTTCCACTCCACGTTCCTCAACAAATCTGCACAAGGAAGAGGAGGCAGCGCATGGGCGAGGTGTTGATGTTTCCATACCACCACTGCTGCTCCAGCAGTCAGTGTGCCAATAGCTCCACAGCCCAGCCCAGCCCATAAACTCACTTTCCCCATCCTCCAGGTTGCCCCAACCCTATAAAACTGCTGGGGTGTGGGTCTGAGAGACTCTCCAGAGCAGCAGATCCAGCTGTGCAACATCACTCAGGGGATTTGGACGCACCTTGGTTTCTTACAATTTGCCAAGTCATTGCTCGTGCATTTCGCGCTGCCCAGAGCTGGGTCAGGCAGCCTGGAGAGCTTTTCTTCCCCAGCCTCTTACTGCTTTCTGGGCTCTTCTCCCTGATCGTTTTCTGGCACCATTATTTCCCTGGAGCCACCACCTTTCCTGCCCAAGCTCTTTGTGTCTGGCCCCTGCAGTGCCCCAAACCTCCACCCCATACATGCCACCAAACGCCTCATGTGCATCTGATCAACCTGAGACCCATGCGTGAGACTGAACCCCATCATGGCCACAGATCTGAGTTAAAGAAGAACAGATTTGGGTGCTGCAGGCTTATGAGATGGCTTTTGGCAGAGATTTCAACATCCAGCACAAGAAAAGGTGAAGTAATTTCTCAGCATCAGCAGAAAGCAGATGCAGAAGATGTGGTCCCCAGGGCAAGTGCAGCATCTCCTGCCCATCCTGCAGTGTCCCACCAGGGGCTGGTGTAGTTAATGTGATGCCTCCAACCAAAGCAGAACCCTTGGGTGGGGTGAGACCTGGGCAGTCACAAGCTTCCCACACCCAACACCCTGTCCCAAGGTGCCCGGGACACGTACCAAGTGCCACCAGAGGGGTTAGGATGGGCACTGCGAGAGGAGCCACGAACATGTAGACGTAGCGGTTCAGGAAGGGAAGTTTCCACGTGCTGGAGTCCCCCAGTCCAATGATGTTGGTGTAGCCATGGTGGATCTTCACGTGGTTGTACGTGGCCTGCTCGACTGTGAAAGCTGAGCAGAGCTGGGAGGGAAGAGAGTTGTGGTGCCAGGGTTGGGCACTGCCTGGCTTGGGCTTGTGTGGGAGGAACCTGAGGAGATGCTCTGGAACCACAATGAAGCACCATGGGGAGATGCTCTGCACCCCACAGACCCCAAACCAGTCTGGAAATGGACTTTTAACAGTTAAGCACTAGAAACCCTTCCCACCATTCCAAACATTGCCCACCACCACAAGGAGCTGATGGGGTGTTTTTGGGGGCTGCCCCACTCACCTCAATGAAGAAGACAGCCCACACTTTGCTCCAGGGCTTGGACTCAGTCAAGGCATTGTGGCTGGCCAGGTGGCTGCCCTTGACAGTCAGGGTGTGATGCACCACGCCAAGGGTGAGGATACCCGCCAGGAAAGGGATGGCCTGGGACGACCGCAGGCACAGGAACCCTGTGGAGAAACCAGCCGGGCAGGAGCTCGGCCATGCACGCGTCCTGCAGCCCTGTGAGCCAGGCTGGAGGTGTTGCTACACCCAAACACGCCAGGCACTGCCCTAAACCTGTTCTTCAGCCGTAGTTACAGGTGTTTAAACCACGCAAGTCAGAGTTTGCCTCCTCATCGTCCTCATGACTGGACCAGCCACACTCACCCTTGTGCTGAAGGTTTGGCCACTTCCAGCCTCGATGGCAACGAGTGCTGCAGGAGCCTGATCCCACCCCACAGTTCTGGGATGTGGGATTCCACTGGTGCCATTACTCCGCCAGGATTTCAGCATCCCCAGGAGTTCAACAGCAAGAGAAGGTGCCAGCTTTCCAGCCATACCACCAGAGACCCACGCTCAACTGTTTTCCCTTCCACCCACCACAGCCAGGGCCACTGCCACCAAACCAACATGTCCCCTGGTGGGACACATCACCCACTGCCCTGCCCTGTGCACATCTGCCTGGGCAGCATCCCCTCAGCCCAGGCTTACCCCAGATGCCACTGGCCCCTCAGCCCAGGCTGCACCCCGGGTGTCATTGTCACCTGCTGTCAGGGGTCAGAGTGCACCCAGTCACGGGGTGAAGGAGTTACTGTGGCTTTGTTACAGCCTCAGTAGGTGCCAACAGACCCCCAGCACAAAGCAGCATGAGGAGCCAGTGGGACCCCAGGGGACCCCCCCGGCCATGGTGTGGGGGCGCTGAGCCAGGTTACCTGCTGGCAGCAGGAGGAAGCTGCAGGCAAGGATGCTGATGTCCACGCCGTGCCGTTCCCACCAGCTGCTGCTCTTCACCACCTTCTGCACCAGCTCCGAAAGCTCGGTCATCAGGGCTTCCTCGGGCTGCCACGCTCGCTCTGGGGCTCCCCCGGGGCTCACATCCCCGTCACCCAGTGCCGGCCCCGGCTCACAGCCCTCTGCCATCGCGTCTGTCCTGCTGGCAGCGGGTGCTGCCTTGCCCCGGAGCGAGGGGTCCCCCATCCCCCTGGGCCGGGGGACACCGCTGACCTCACCGTTGACCTGCCGTCCCCTCGGCCTCGTCCCATCCTCCGTGGGCATCTCCCTGCCGAGCAGAGGCCACGCCGGGTGTCACCCGCGGGGCACCAACCCCAGCACCCCGAGCCCCCGCGCACGGGGCTCGTCGGCTCCTGCTGCCGCCGAAGGACACGGGAAGGGCAGGGATGGGAAAAAACAAACAACCCAAGGAGAACGCAGCCAGCAGAGACGGCCAGAGAGCCACCCAGCCATGCACCCCACCGCAGGGACACCGCAGCCCCCTACTCACGGCAGCCCCGGCGCGGGGGCTCTCCCGGCGCTGGCCATTCCCGGGCAGCCCGCACGGCTCCGGCTCCGCTGGAGCGGCGATCGGGAGGAGGAGGAGCAGGGCAGCACCGGGAGGAGGGCGAATGCAGATGAGCCGTGGCGATAATCCGCCTTCGTGGCCCATTTAGGGGAGCAGCCGCGGCAGCGGGGGCCGTGGGGAAGCGGCGGCGGCAGAGGAGGGAAGGAGTGGAAAAAAGATGGAGAGAGGCAATGGAAATGCTGGGGGCGAAGGAGCCAAGTGCCAGGAACAGCCCTGAGAAACCCAAGCAGAGCGCTGAGGACAGGGATAGGGTTTCGCTTTTGCCAGGGAGAGGGAGAAAACGCTGCCTGTCCCACGTGGGAGCCGTTTTGGGGAGAAAATCGGCCTTTTCCACAGCGAGGAGGAGCTGCAGGAAGGAGGAGCCCCTGCCCGAGCTGCTGCTGCCACACCTCCGCTCTGCCGGGCTCCCACCAGCAACCAGGCCACCCCAAATCTGTCCCTCGCAGCTCTGGCACCCAGCTCTGACCCCTGCAGGGTCTCTCTTCTTCTCTTCTGACCTGATTCTGCATGAATTTCCCCCATTTTCCATCACTGCCTCCTGACTCATCACCCCAGACACTGGCATCCAAAAGCTTTGGGGATGCCCCTACACAGACCAGGGCCTCCAAAGCCCTAATTCTTTATGAAGGAAAGCTAAAATCACATTGTTCCTCGATGTAGCCCTGGATTTCTTCTTGCTTTGTTATTTCTCCTTGGCAAACCTCAAATCAGCTCAACTGATCCACCAAAACCTTAATGAACATTGACATCCATCAAATCCATGTGGATTTGCAACAAATGAGGCTGGTTTGCTACACCCATCACTAGGATATCATAGCCCCAAACTGGGATGGGCTCAGCACCTCCAGTAACATCACATCATCACTGTGATTTGCAGGGAAGCAAACCTCACACTCAAGTTACACCAAGCCCCAGGGAATTGTCATCATCCTCTGAAAAAAAACCCCATTTATAACAATTTAAAAAATCCAAGCTGCTGCAAAAGGGGCAGAGCTGAGAGTGCATCAGAGACCTGCTGAGGTTTCATTTCCACTGTAAGAGCCTGCATTAGGAAAGACCATTTCTAGAGCCAGGGGCACTGGGGAATCCCGGTGGTGTGTGAAGCCCAGCCAGTGATTCACTCTGATGGGCAGAATGGCTTTTGCCACCTGCCCACAGCTGGGAGAGCACCCATGGGTGCTGCCAGGCCAGGGGAGGCAGGTGTCAGGCCCAAATGTGCATCGGGTGGGGCTGCTCCTGAGACACACATACCCGCATTGTCACACCTCGGGTGTCACCACAAGGGACAGTGGCAGGAGTGTGACAGCCCTGCTCCCAGGGCCCCGTTTGGCAGGGGCAAGGGTGAGTTGTGCTGGAACTGCCATTGCACAATGGGGCAGAGCTGGTTATGTGGGGGCAGCTGAGGAGGAGGAGGGGTGGGGATCAGCCACACATCCAAGAACAACACGATCCATGAGGATCCCACTGCAGCTGGCACAGGGAGAGGCAGGCGTGTGGCATCGTTCAGTTCCGTGCTGCCACTAGGACCAGAGATCACCTGGGAGAGGAGAGCAAATCGAGGGTTGAAAACTACATGGGAGAGGCTGAAATTTGATTTCTGAGGAAAAGTGCTGAACCCAAAAGAGGTACAGGCAAGATGAGTGTCACAATGCTGACAACAGACCAGAAAGTGTAAGAACTGCAGAGCCATAAGGACAGTCAGCAGATTCAGGATTGTAGCCCTAAATCTGCTGCCTCGCAGAGCTCCATTTCCAAAAGAAACTTTTAAACATCTGATTTCCTACCACACACAGGCCAAGTCACACAGTTCCCCTGACCCAGCTGAGAACATAGGGATCAAAGCAAACACTGACCTGGCCCTTGCACTGTGGACACAAACACCTCCAATTTAGCAGGGAAAACATGTGTAAGACTCAGAAATCCTTCAGCACACAGCAGGGCAGCTGGAGCGGATCAGCATAATCCCTGAAGCAGCGAGCTGGGGCCAGCAGCTGCTGACCCTGTGGCTGTCCCTTGCCCTGGGCACCACGAGGGTCCCACAGGCAGCCCCCACTGGCTCCCCAGGCATCTGCCATCCCGAGGGAGCCACGGGAATCAAACCCTGCCACTGTCCTCATCTGACCCACTCTGCCCCTAGGACTGAGCCCAGCCCCTAGAAAGGCCAAATCTGGCTCTCAGCAAGCTCCTCCCGTGTCCCTGCTCCCCAAAGAGGAGAAAACAGCCATTTTAGCCTGGGACAAGGACACACATGTCAAGCCATCAGGACCCAGCAGCTGCAAGTGCTTCCTTGCTGAGCCCTCCCAGGGTCCCCCCCAGCCCGGGGGACAGGATCTGCTGCAGTGCCAGAAGTGCAGCTTCCAGCCCAAATCCAGGAGTATGGAAAGGTGCAGTATTTGCACCCCAGGTCGTGGTGAGGAGGTAGAGCTCCCTCAGCAGCCCTTCCCTCCCTTGCACTCCCTCCTCCTCCTCCCCGGCCCCTCCCTACAGCCCACCTTGCACTCCCTCCTCCTCCTCCCCGGGGGAGGAAGGCTCAGGCTGGAGGCGCTGGCAGTGGGACACCACCAGATGCCCTGGCTGCCTCAGCCAGACACTCCCCAAACCACCACCTCCCCTTTCCTTCCCCTGACATCGACCCATGGGTCTGCAGAGATTCACTTTTATAATACCCGGGTTTGGGCGGCACTTCCTCCCACCTCTTTCAGACCAAACGCTTTTGGGTAATTAACTTAATCAGGGATTAATTACCACCATCCCCTGCCCAGCAGGGAGACTTTAAGCACCGCCTCTTTTTGTCTTTTGGGGACTGGCAGAACTGTGGGGTCCTCAAGGAGAAATTCTCTGGATTCATGCCTCGCTCCAGCCCTGTCCCCGAGCGAGGAGCTCCATCTGCAGGCAGAGCTGTGCCTCCATCACCCCGAAAGCAGCTCCTGCCCCCCAAATTCGGGCCCCGGCACACGGGTGTTTGGCAATGCCGAGTCCCACAGCTGCTGCCCAGGTACGAGTTCCGATCCCCGCTCACCCATCCACCCCAAGGCCAGCTGGGGCACCCCAAACCTTCCCTGCTGTGGGATGAGGAAAGGGAGCAGGACGGGCTGGGGAGCACGGGGCAGGCACCAGAGGGAGTCACAGCTCTGTGCAGCGTCTGTCCTTTGTTCCAAGTGCAGGAGGCTGAGGTGGTGGGTTCCCAAGGGACACTTAGCCCTGAGCTCGTGGGCTCCCAAAACGTGAGACCCAGCCTGATTTGTGTGCCAGGGAAACAAGCTCTCAGTGGACGCCAGAGCTGGCACAGCCACCAAGACCTTGCCCGTGGGAAAGTGCAGGAGGCTGAGCTGGTGGGTTCCCAAGGGAAACTTAGCTCGTGGGCTTCCAAACCGTGAGACCCAGCCTGATTTGTGTGCCAGGGAAACAAGCTCTCAGTGGACGCCAGAGCTGGCACAGCCACCAAGACCTTGCCCGTGGGATGCAAATTCTCCTTCCAGGGACCAAAACCTTGGATGCTGGGGGGACAAAGCCACTGAGCCCCATCCCATGGGTTGCTAAGTCCTCTCCTAGGGATCGAGACCTTGGGTGCAGCCGCAGCCTCTCTGCGAGCTCCAGAGGTGCCAGGCTGGGACGGAGCTGGCGGGGGTGAGATGCCAGATCTGCCCAGGGCTGCTTTTCAGCCCACATCCTGCCAGCCCTATGAGACTTGGCAAGGTCATGCTTTTAACCTTAAATCAATACCCTTCCCGGGATATCTCACTGTTTGCACGGCACAAATGGCCACTTTAAGCCCCAGAAAACTTCCCGCTGGTGCTCAGCAGCTCCGGGAAGAGGCTGGGTCCCAGCGCTGGCTAATCTGGCCGATCTGTTTGAATGGCACGGCCGGACGATGGCGAGACGGGGCGGGCAGAGCCCTGGGTCATGCACTGGCTGCGGGGGAGGCGTTGTGAACAATGCCTGGTCTTATCCAGGCTCTTTTGGTCTTATCCAGGCTCTGTGTTGGTCCAGTGCTGCCCTGCACTGCCCCGGCACCTCCGCATGGACGTGGCTGAATGGCAGAACCCCACAAAGGACATTGTCCAAACAGAAAGGAGTTGGAGGCTCCACACCCTCCGTGTCATTCTCACCATCCTTTTCATTGCTGCGCTATTTTTCTCTTCTATTTGACCCTAAGATGGGTGCTGGAGGGATTGTAAGTGAGGAATTGCTCAGCCAAACCTCAGTGATGTTCACCTGGGGTGACAACACCTGGGATTTACCTGCCAGCAGCAGCCAGGTGTGGAGACATCAACCTAACTCCTTGCTCTGGCAAGCTTTAGGGGCTACATGGCAGTGTAGAGCCTGAACCCTCCTGGCTCTGGGGCTGGGACAGTGGTCCTCCAGGTCCTGGCTAGGCCAGAGTGCTGCTTTTTACAGGGACAGACCATAAATAACCCTGCACTTGCAGGGTGGGGACAGACCCTTGGGACAGCCTGACGGGAGATTCTTCCCAGCATGGAGTTAAACACAGGCCTGGTATCAGCTGTGCCATGGGCCCAAACACAAACACCTCCCCTCTTCCTTTCCTAGTAGCCACCTGCAAATACAAGAACCCCAAAGCTCAGGGATAAGCACCCTGACATAAGGAGTAATTTCTTTACTTCCCAAGGCTGCATGAGACTCACAGCAGTGGCTGGTGAAGGGGGGTTTATTCAAAGCACATGGAAACCAAAGTCAACACAAAGTCCTGCCCCGAGCCCTTGGATATCTCAGCCCAGGGCTCCAAGCCACAGCACCAAAACCCATCTTTCCCCATGAGCACCCCCAGAGCCCCTGGGGACTCGCTGCATAGTCACCACCAGCATATCCTGATACCAGTGGAGGAGCTGGAGCTGGGTCTGTGACTGGGAGACAAGCAGCCTAATGTATTAGTTTAGTAATTAACTCCTGTAAATTGTGCATAACAGAGCAATTAACTACTTTAGCCAGGCTTGGGAGGGGGGAGCAGGAAAACCTGTGTGCTGTGGGAGTGAGGGCATGGAACAGATTCCCTAAGCCA